CATTATTATTAAAATATTTATTTTTAAAAATTTATTTATTGAAAATTACTTTTTTACATATTTTTATTAATTATTTACATTTATATTATTCATCATCAATATAAATCTTTTTATTCCTACATTTTACAGTTGCAATTTCAGATCATTTTCATTATTTTCTACTTTTTTCAGAGTACTTTGAATTTTAATATCTTCCTACTCATGCATTTCTTAATCTTCATCACTTGAATTGCCTTTTGTAAATCTGATTTTCTTTTTAAATTTTTCCTAAAATATATTATTAGTAAACAAATAACTCTATAATATTTTGAAGAATTTTAAACTTACCTTATTTTTTTCTATTTTGCTTTTAATTAATGCTTCATTAATTAAAATATTTTCATTACTCAGATTTAGAATCATTTGATATATTGCAATGGTGAATATAACTTGTTCCTTGGAAGCATCCTATTTTGATCAAACTTTTTCAAAAATGCATATCATCATGCTTTGGTTTTTTTTCCTAAGACAGACATAAAGATTTTTAAAGCACTTCCAGATTTTTCATAATTTTTTCCAAGCCATAATTTCAATAGTGGTTGCATTTGTATTGATTGTATCCAGGAAGTTTTTGCTAAAGACTGAAAATATGACATCCTGGATTTTTTAAGTCATAATTTCTTGAAGTGATCTGTGTTATCTTACAAGCTATTAAATAAATAATATTGTTATTAAATTTATTTATATTGTTAATAACTGCAATAATTACCATTTGGGGAATATGCTTCTCATAATACGTCTTCCAATATTTTCTTGTTAGGCCTTCAAAGAACTCTGAATATTCTTGCTAAAAATATTCTTCTATATGCTGACAAAAATCTTTGAGATCTGCATATATATTTTCAAAAAAAACTTCTTTTATGATACTCTTGACCACATGTTATTATAAAATCCAAAATGTTATTGAAGTTCTTTGAAGATTAAAAATTAAACCTTATCTCGATAAAATCCTATTCAGTGATTAAATGTTGACTCATATGAATTTCATTTTCTAGACAAATAACCTTATTCTCGATAGCTTTTTGACATTCTAATAACAAATTAATTTTCTTATGAATACTTTTGTGGAACTCCAAAAGCCTCTTGATTACTATATTAGAAACTAAATATACAAATTAATATTTATTTAAATAGTTGCATCTTTTTTAATATACCTAAAGATTCTTCAGGCAACCTTCTAATAGGCAAAGATTCTAGAATATAACTGGGAGATCTTAATTGCTTCTAGGGTGGCTCTGTTTTTATTTCAGCTTGAGACATTGGTCTTTGTTCTTCAGCTTGACCTGGAATACCGGAAGTACTCTTGGGCTTTTTAAAGGACTTCAAAGTACCCTTTTCACCAGAGCTTGAATCTGAAATCATTTGTTGAAACATGTTACATATTTCTTTTCTTTTATTTAATATTAATAAAAAAGAAAGAATTCTAGAGACCTTATATAACACAAATTCTAAAAAGTTATATTATATTATAACTATATATAACTCTTCATCATCTTTTGAAAATTACTTCATAATAATAATATTAAAATCATATTGACAAAATTATGACAATTTGTAAATTAAATTTTTGATTGGCTAAAATTAATCAGTATTTTATTGGTCAATTTTATTTTAATATACATATTATTACTTTGAATATTTCTAAAAATTTTCAAAATAAAAAATATTCAAAATTTTTTATTATTAAAATTAATGAAATTATTTTTGTTTTACAAATTTTCAAATATTTTTAAAGTTTTTCAAAGAAATTTTCAAAAATTTTTGAAAAATTTTTAACAGATGGAGATCTCTAGAGTTCTCTACTAAAAAAATTTCTTGATGATAATCAAGAATACTAATATAATCAATTACTTTTTATCATTCATTAATTTTTACCAATAAATTTAAATCACTTGTAAATAAACAGTCTATAATATATTATTACTTCTTTTTTATCAGATTTGAATATTAAGACAAGACAATTAATATATTTTTTAAATAATTGCTTTACTAGTTATGGTTATCACTTTCATATATTTAAAAATAAGATTCATCATTTCAAATAATATAATTCTACTTAAAAATTTATTATAATTATTTTTTTGTATATTTAAAATTAATTTTTTGATTTTGATTATATAAATGGTTAACTTTTATCAATTCAAGCATAATAACCTTCTTCATAAAGATATTATTGTATAGTATATGTAGAAATATTAATTGCATAAATTTATTTTACTTAATATTTAATATAACTTTTTTATTTTTTTTGATTATACATAGTAAATGTCATGTATCATAATTGATTAATATTGATGTTCTTCCATATCAAGATGGAAATTTTATTTTTTCTAAACTCTCATAATATTTTATTACTCTTTTAACTAATGAAGATGCAAATCTAAGATTTTATACTATAGTAGAAACACTTGAACTACTACCAAGCACTAATTATTCGACTTTTTTTGCTTTTAGATAATTCCTTACATTTTGGTTCCACTGTGAAAAAATCACAAATAGAACCAAAAAAAAAATCATCATTCTAAAAAATACAGTATATATTTCGAAAATTCTAACAATGTAAAAATTTATGCATCATATAATTCTTTCGTTTGCCGATCACATTAAATTTGATCAGCGCACCATAACTTATGTCATGGGAGTGTACATAATTTTTTTAGGACACTATATCTCGATTATTTTTTATTGACAAAATTATAGTTTTAAATTACATAAATTTGCAAACTTTTCAAAAATTAAAAAATTTTATAAGGTTTAACCATTGGTCTACAATTATGAGTATTGTTAATTCTCAATGCAAGCTGCATTTTTTTTTTTTTTTTGATATAATTTCTAGCTAAGTTGATAAGCCAACTTTTCCCGAGTGACGCTATTTATTTCAAGTTACAAGAAGTGATTTCAGTTTCCGCACCAACATTTGAATGTAATCATTACGCGCCTTAAATCGATCAACAATCTCCTTCGTAGTCTACAAAAAATTAATAATGTATTTTGTTAAAGTAACTGCCTACTCGACGTAAGTATACAAATATTAATAACTACCGGTTGTTGATCGAGTGATTCCAATCTTTTCAAAATATCGGTAAGAACGAGATTCCCATCCTCTTGCAAACGCTTTTTATTTGCATCCCTTGGAGCTGTGGAGGAAGGCAATACTTGATTTGTATCAAAGGATGATTTTTGACTACCGGGGGTCATATAATAATCAAGGTGGCGCCATAATAATAACAAAGAGATCTCAACATCATCTACCATAGAGAGAATCATATACAATTCATTAGAATATGATCCGACAAGTATTGTCGCAAAGTTCCAAGATCTTACATAAGTATTGTGACACAAATTTCGATGACTTAAAATGACTTTCTTGCAAAGCTCGCATGGCTAAGGACTTCCTCTGGGAATCATCCAGGTCAAAAGCAAAATCATCGGGTAGAGATGTCACAACCTAGATTTTTAGCCAACAAAGAAACGAATCATTACTTCTCTTCATCGAAATTTCGAAGTTACCGTATTGAAATGAAAGTACCTCCTCAATATTATCAAGTGCTTCTTCTCCTTTTTCTATTTTGGACGATAACTTTCCAAGGTTTTGCAGGTATTGTTCAAGGAGGTCGATAGAATTACGAAGGTAATTAACGAGAACCGAGAGCTCGGGTTTCCCTTTTAACAAAATGGACATTAAAGCAAGGAACGAAATACCGGTTTGAAATAATTAAATAGATTCTGCACTTAATACTTACTGATATCGCCGTGGTAGTCGTCATCAGGTCGCTTGGCAGCATTGAGAGATTGAGTGAATATTGGGGTGAATGCTGTCGTTACAAAATTAATGATGTTAGTCTGGAGAAATAATCATAATGATGATCAATTCATTTTAATAAATCTACATTGATCAGATTTGTGGTTCATTGTCATTATCTGGCACCATCCCAAAAGATTTCGATTAATGCTTTCAATTAGACCTTGCACATCTGATAGGTAAAAAAAAAAAAAAAATAAATAAAAATAAATAAAAAATAACAATAACGATTGGTCAAGTTTCAATGCAAAATTCATTCTAAAAGATAAATTAGGTTGGTACGTTGGACATTCGAATCGTCAATTTCTGCCAGGCTCGATATTTTTTTCCTAACAGTAAAACATCGTGAAATTAGTTCCCTCAGGAGCCCTTGATATGTGCGTTGGTGAGTTTCAGTGCGCTATTGATAGTTAACATTTTTCATAAAGATTTTCTTGGCAATAAATAATCCGTAAATTGCAAAGGAAAAAATTTCCGAGGAAACATACAACTAGATCGATGGGTTTTATCTTGTCACCCAATAAATAGAATAGACGCGTCACTTCATTTAGAACTTCGATGCACATTATAAAGTTCGCGCGCAACTCAGAATTTTGCGAATTTAGTGCGTCTATGGAAGGTACATCGGTAAAAATAGTTGCAATCAAGTCTTGGTGACCACTGATGAATTGGGAAACCTGAAATCAAAATCCAAGTAAATTAATGCATTTTAAAAAACAAAGTAATATATGTCTATCCATTATTCATTTACCTTAACCAGGGCGGCTGCACTTTCATGTCCTATGCTTGTGAGGATGCAGACAATAAGGCGTACCACCAGCGTCAATAGATCATGATATGCCTTATACACAGGCTTTCCTAAGGGTTCTAATTAATTATTTTAGATCGTATCCCAGATGGTAATTGTAAATATCCAAAAAAAAAAAAAAATAATAATAAATAATAAAAATAATAAAAAAAATAATAATAATAATAATATATTATATAACATCATCTCGAGTTAAGAGAAGCTTCGGGTCGGTCATTTAAATATTACCTATTTCTGGATTGCTATAATTTGGTCGTTCGTCTAGAAATTCCAAGTCGTCCAGATAGCCCATAATCCCCATCTCCAACAGTTTACTGGCACAGTCGCGACGCTGAGCAAAGCACATTAAAAGTCCCATTCTTGCCTCAAATACATATTTCGCTTGTATTGCGGCCGTTTCTAAAAGGAATGAGATAATTGAAAATTTAGAATAGGGCAGTTGCGGATTTTTGAAACGGCAAAATATATTACCATATCGAGGGCTTATGGACTGCAACAGTAATTCATTTTGACTTTTCAAATTCTTAACAATATTTCCAAGAAAGCCTGTTGTAATTATGTAATCAATCACAAAAAGACCTTTATCTCGTTTGTCCAAACTACAGATAGCTGTTAGCACATTTAAAGCGCATAACTTTCCGGCGACTGGTCCCTCAGAAGCATCTAGTCGAATTATATCGAGCAATCTTTTACCCACACTTCTAAAGACCGCAAGATTACCAGCGTCGAGGATAGATCGAGTACCACCACGAGTTTGAGTTATCGAAGGCTTAGGCGATGAGTTTTTCAAGATAGTTCCTGGTATGGGTGTTGAAAAGACAGATCGTGTCATAACACTTTTAGAAAGCGATCGTGATAAGTCACTCGGCGGCAGTGATCCCGCTGATATATCAGGTTCGTAGTCGATGTAGTGCAGATAATTATAAATCGTCGCATATAAATTGTTCCGAACATCCGGTGAAAAATCTTGGACTATGAGGCATTCCAAGATTAGTCGTAATATAGAGAAAAGTCTTTCAGAAGGAACTCTCAGATATGCGAGATTTGCGGTGTTCGCCGTCTGTAGAATCGATAAGCGTCTGCGATCTAACCGTAAAACCGTAATTGCCGATAATATGACCTTACTAATGATCTCTGCAATCGCTCGAGCCTCACGCTGTAAAGTTGGTAATAAGACCGACAGTATATCATGAAACGTAGCTTCACGAACTTCCAAACGCAGGCGACTATAATGATTAACAATGGTCACTTCGGTCACTTCCCTCCACGCTTTAAAACATTCACGCCTAGAGTATATGTATTCTTGATCGCGATTATAAAAATAGCAGTATCGTAGTATATGTTTCATCTCCTTGCGTAAGCTAGTCTCGTTAACCGAAAAGCCCATCTGTGCCTGCTTTCGAAGGTGTATGTGTGTCTGATTCATTTCGGAGAACACATCGTTCAATCTATAAGTAGCAAACCCGCGTTCGTTAAGTGTCAGTAATGCCTTGAGGTTAATTTTGTCAAAGTAATTTCTCGTCGGTTCTTTTATTTGCCATAAATCATCCCAATCAAATTCCAACATGTTTAAAATATCAAGAATTTTTATCGTTGACGTGGTCGATAGGTCCTCGTCCATTGCATCCCTGGCTGGTGACTTAATCGCACCAACTCCTAATAACATGATTAGTAATCGCTCAATACCAGAACGAGTCTGACATTTACGCAATTCCAATGCAATCATTTTCATCAAATACGTTCGCTCGTCGAGATTCGCGCAGACAGTAACCAAGTCTAATCCCATTACTTGGTTATCATAGCGTGTCATTTTGCATAACTCTCCCCATTCCGGCATCTTTTCCGGTAAAACTATTTGTAAGGGCATCGCTTTGAATTGGCGATGAATGAATCCTTGGCTTCGGAGAAATAACATTGTCACGTCGGAAGTGTTATAATCAGCGCAAAGTCGGTACAAAATTTGGTAACAACAGGCTGTCAGTGATGGGTAATTAGATAGCAAAGGATTAACTTCAGAAACATCCGAATCATTGTTGATAGGTTGCCCTAAGATTTCCATTATTTTATGCAGACACGATTCCCTAAGATCGTCTTGTTTGATGTATTTGATAACCGGGGCCTGTAACGAACCTCGAAGGTCAAAACCAAGGAGAAAATGTGATATTGTTGGAGTGGCTTTAACAGGCATCAAATTTTCTAAAATGAGATTCAATATTGCGCACCTCACCGTTCCGAAAGTGATTGCCGGTTCATGCGTCAGCGGTCCCGCGCAGAATTCATCCTCTCCAGGTACGGACCAGGATTTTAATCCAACTTGAGTTAACTCAAAACCTTCTAATTTATATTTACTGTCCCATGTCTCCTCATCCCCACTCAACTCCAACCGTGTCACAAAACCGCCAATAATCGCTTCTGAATCAACACTAGAATCTAGTATCCCAACCAATCTATTTACTCTTTCTTTGCCATATCTATCCTTTGAACTGAATAATGACGATCTGGAGAGGCTAGACAAAACCTTGACAACGTACAGGCAAACATCAGCGTTTCCGTAATTGAGCAATAGTGCTATTTGCACTATAACTTCCTTTTTAGATAAGAACGCGTTTTCAAGTTGTCCTGGAGAATTTTCGCCTACTAAAGGGACCAATCGTTTCGTAAATCTTTCCTGCTTTTCTAATGCGACCCACAATATTCTCAAGCAATGCAAAACCGATTCTAAAATGAACGGTGCTTTGACCTCTTCTCCCAATGCCTCAATTCCCTGTGAAATTATTTCAAACATCACATCTACCAATCGGGAGTTACTCAACAACCTTTTCATTATATCGTATCCTGGATGATTCCTTAGATATTGAACCCAATCTTTGTTAAAAGTGTTGGTTTCTTCTTTGTTTACAATTTCCAGTTTCGTGATTGACGCTTGATCGTTTTGGAACAATGGACCTGTCAAATCAAACGAAGTCAGGCATTTATAGATTATGTCTAGGGAAGACGCCATGATATTCCACTTTTGTGATGGGAAGATGTAATCGCGACTCGGAGCTTTGATAAAAATGTCATCGATGATAAAATTTACATAGGGTGTAATTCCGGGTTGTCGATAACCAGTTCCAATCTGCTCGATCATTGTCGGGGAGCGAACAGGAAATCCGCAGCGAAGAGAGACATGAATATCGGGAACATAAATTAGGGAACTGATGAAACGTACAAATGAAAATGTCTGAAAGAATAGCTTTCTCGGTGATTCAACCTCCTCGAGCTCCTTTTTTATGGCCCAAGCGTCTTGCGCCTGCATGCTTGAGATTCCCCAGTACGTGGTCGCTCCGAACTTGAGATCCTTGGGGACGGTGTGAACTATTTGCTCCTCTTCAAGCAAATACCATATCTGCAAAACGATATCCAGAAATCCCTCGGTTTCCGGAACACAAAACGACGTGATCGAATTATATAATTCCGCTTTTAGCTCGGTTGGCACGTGATGGATTACTAAGCGAAAGAGACTCTTTATCACGTTGGCCTGGAAGAACCTAATCCTTGCGTTACTCGAATATCGAACAACCTGCTGGAAAACTCTTAGAAAGGAAATCAAAAGTTTGACTTCATCTTCTAATATTTGTTTGATATCTTGGTTCATCCCCATATTGTACTCGTTCAAGGCCCTGAACAATGTAGTCCACGAACACCATTCACCCATCTCCTCTGAACTGCGTGAAAGGAAATCATCGGCACGGGCACTGGAATGAACGCCCGCAGATAACGAACAAAGCATTTCCAAATATGCTCTCATCATTCCCTTTTCCTGAAAACTTGCTCCCCAATTTATTATCTGTTTCAAGTCTATCCAGAATCTTAAGCCTTCATCGGGAAGATTTCTGTAAATATTGGCTATCAAGATGAAGAAGGCTTCGACGTCATGACGTACTACAATAGACTTTCTGGTAGTAGACGAAACCAAAGGTTCGGTTGCTGCTGATTGGATAGCGTCCTCCTCCTGTCTCCTGATCTTTTGTAAATTACTCCACATCCTGGTCACTATCGATATGACAAAGAACTCGAGTTGTTTGCGAAGGTAATATCCAAAATCTTCTTGTATATGACCGTCGACTTTCGGAACCATTCCTGGGGGGGAGAATGTGACATTGAACGAGCCATTTTCAGTGCTTTTGGTTTCCCATACGGTTGATATACTTGGTGCAATTTCAGCATACACGGATTCCATTTCCGTTTTTTGAAATGAAAGTAAATAGTGGGTTATAAATTGAAATGCGTCCTTGACAACCGCTCGTTGAAACATTTCTCCCAAGTGTTCTTCTTTAATAATTAACTGCGACTCCAAGGACGGAGAATTGCGTAAAGCCTCTAATACAAATAGACACCACTGAATAGTAATTGTTGCTCTAGCTGCCTCAACCTTCCATGAGCCTTTGTTAATAAAGTTTGCAAAATCGTTGATAAAATCCTTGTTTCTAATCAAATCGTCGTGTTTTTGCTTCGCTGGCAAATCAATGGACAAATGTTCGGATGACGTATCAATAGTTGAAAGTAATGAAGCAATCAAATATGGAAAAACGATGTCGTCCATATCAGAATTACGTAAAATATTTGTCAGCTCTGTTATATCCTTTACATCCAAAAGGTAATTGTAAGATATTAACCATAAATTGTGTGCAAGATATCTTTGGTGTATCGATGATTGCTTAATTTTATCCTTCATAGATTCACTATTAAAATTGATCAAAGTATACCCGGCATTGAGAAGTTGTAAATCTTGAGAAGTAATCATTGTCTGACTCTGACTTAAAAGTTTTTGTAATCGAGAATCGAATTCAACTGTTTCGTTTTTAAGCTTTCGAATAGTCGACAATATCTTTCCTGCATATGAGCCGTCTTTGGTCACTTTCGACGCCGCACCAAACAAGCTGTCCACATAGTCCGCGAACAATTCTCTGGCTGAAATGTTTACGTCTTCATTAAAAGCATTTCCTATGAGACTCGATAAGCATACCAACAAATATGCTTGCTCTCGGAGTAAAAGTAGAACTGCTGTTTCTGGGGCGGATCTGTTAAATTTGGCGCATTGTTTTGATCCATGATGAAGAAGGCATGCTGCGAGAAATTCATCGATCTTGAGAAAATCCGATATCGAGTTTGCCTCGACAACAAAGGATTCCGAAAACTTGTAATCCGTGCGATTTATGGTTGCAGTACCTAATTTATATTTATTGGAACGAACTTATATAATAAATGCTTGTCACAACGAGGAAAGTTTGATAATCCGGATAGTCTCATTACAATGTGATTACGGCCACTTTTCATATTCTCGCAAATTTGTAAATCCCGGAATCGCAAGTCACAAAATAACAACAAACAAAAGAAGAACTTAACCTTTATTCTTGAGTTGATTTCGATGATCTAGTTGTTGCGGTGGGAGGTCAAGCAAATTTATAAACCACGATTTATTTTCTTGTAGTTTATAACTTATTTCTTTTAAACCGGACTCGGACGCGGAGTATGAAACATTCTCAATTTGCTCAAGTAATATTCGAAACCTGTCCGGTTCCCAGTCTGTGAAGTCAAGCATATTTAAAGTCTATCTCAAAAAGTAAACGTAATAACGCCAAAGATCTGATGAAATAGAGTTTTGAAGAAGAGCACCGACGAAAAATCCATTTTTGAATTTCTGATTTTATATATATCAAAACAAGAGACTAATATTTTATATCAGTTGTAATTTCTGTCGATCATGGGGCATTGTTTAACTGTAACCATACATGTATAAAATAAGAATAATTCATGTCATCATGGTTAATCTTTGATACTCTTATTTGTGCATTATCTTTTTTTTTTGAAAATTTCTGTTCATGTCACTTTCAACTTTTTGTAATTTTGAAATGATTTTGAAATTGATTTATTAAATAGTAAATTTTTTTTTTTTTTTTAGTTTATATCTTTTATACTATATATTTTAGAATATCTTTTTTTTTTCTTAACTTACAATATAAAGTTAATCATTCATTTTTATTAATAAATTTTTTCTGTAGAATATTTCTTATTTTCTGTGATAGTTTTAATTTATTATCCAGATATGCTTTGATTTTTTCTTTTATTTTTTCTAAAATATTAATTATAATTATCTTTTTTTTTTTAAAAAAAAAATAGAAGTTTATAAATGATATATGATTTTATTAAATATTTTATATATTTCATATTATAAAATATATTGTTAAAATTAAATCTTTACCTAACTTACTTATCTCTGTTTTGAAATTTATCAAAACTTTAAGTGCAACTTTGGAAGTGATTTATTATTTTATTAGTAATTCAAGTAAAAATCCTTTTAACTATTAATTTTATTATTTATAAGTTATTATTACAAATTATTTTGTAATATTTTAATAGAGCTTAAAACCCAACTACTTCATTTCATATACTATTCTTTTAGTCAAGATACTTTAAGCTTTTGTGCTAGTCTTATAAGAAGTGATTTTATTTAGGAAATAATAAATCCAAAATATTATAAAAAATATATAAAAAAAATGATAAAAAATAAATAATAAAAATATAAAAAAAAGTTTACAATCAAGTTTATAAAAGAATTTGAAATAAAAGATAAGAAAAGATATTTCAATAAAAATAATTACAAGGGATCTATAAAAAGAATAAAATAAAAAAATCTTATAAATGAA